TATTAAACTCTTCAGTCTTTGCTTTATTAAAATATCTCCGTCTGTTACATCATAGAGTTGTTTAATATTATCCTTTCCTAGACAATGTTCCCTTCTTAATACCCGTGGAATCAGACCAGGAGTCTCAGTACCCAGACATAAGCCATCAACTTTTTCTTTAAAAATTAATATGTCCCTGTTTAACTTACAATATTTTTTTAATAAAAGAGAGAAGGGGACCGTGGGATGGATACACATCATACCGATGTATCAGGGCAGAGTTAGGTGTAATTACATACATGTTATGATGAAGGAGGGAACGATCTCAACAGAAGTACACGGGGTGACTCTAATAACACAGCAAGGCTTTAAATAATATACATAACGTACCTGTTTTGAGATCCACCCCTCATACGAAGCTGATAATTATGTGAAAGGGTTTAAAGCAAATGTATCTGCTTTGAGATCCGCTCTCCTGCAAGTTGATACAGATATCGTTTTGACAGCGATATTTCATAAATGTCCTAAATGTGCTTTTAGTCCCTTGCCACAAAATGGATTTAACATGAAGTACTTTGTTAAAACTGAGCTCGTCATTCATCAATACTTGATTGAGTCATCATTTTATTATCAGAATATAATGTAATATATAAATAAATTGACACATTCAAATCATCAACATATCAAATGTAAACAATTTTGAAAATACTATCTCCTACAAAAATGTACCTATTCAATGAATTGATATCATACACTTTCTAATGTCCTAAAGGTGTCAACTAGTTCTAAGAAAACTAAAAAAAAAATACAAGCCGGAGCTGTAGGGGGTTATAGGTTCGAAAACATTCCTAAAGTAAAAAGTGCAAAAACCAAAGTATGGCCCTGTTTAGATGATATATCTCATTTAAATTCGTTCTTATTCGGCTGTGATCGAGTGAGGTGACACCTCATCAATAATCGCTTTTACTCGGGTGTGATCGAGTGAGGTGACATTTCATAACTAGTCTTTTTTTTACTCTGGTGTGATCGGCTGAAAGGTGCCTATTACACAGGACCTTTAGAGAAAGAGATGTTACCATCATGATGGGAAACCTAATGCAAAAATTGGAAATGATAACATCGGATATAGTGAGATCATGGGACAACATGGACTGGGTCAAATGAACTGAAATGGTGAAAGATTAGTAAACGTTTGTGCATTCAACAAACTAGTTATTGGTGGCACTTTATTCCAGCACCAAAGAATCCATAAAGCCACCTGGGTATCACCAGACCAGATAACTGAAAATCAGATAGACCATATATGTTTCAATAAAAAGTTTAGAAAACCTTTGCAGGCTAACAGGGTCAAACGAGCAACAGATGTAGCCTTAGACCACCATCTACTCACAGGCAGCATCAAACTGCAGCTTAAGAAAATGAAAACAGAAGGAAACTCTCAGAGAATTAGATATAACACCAGGCTTCTCCAGGATATCCAAATCTTACAGGATTATAAGATTCGGTTGGAAACAAATACCAAGCCCTACAGGAAATAGGTGAACTAACAACAGTTGAAGATCATTAGAAAGGGATAATTTTAAGAGACCATCACAACAAGCTGCCATGAAATACTAGGAGTAAAAAAGTACCAATATAAAGAGTGGATCACAAATGACACAATTAGGAAAGTAGAGGAGAGGAAGGATAAGAAGGCTGTGGTCAATTCAAGCAGAACAAGAGCTGAAAAAGCAAAAGCCCAAAAAGAGTATGCTGAGGCCAACAAGAGAACAAAACAAGGTATTCAAGCTGACAAAAGAAGGTACATCGAGGAACTAGCAACTAAAGCAGAACAAGCTGCAAAAGCAGGAAAACATGAAAGACCTGTATGACATCACCAAGAAGCTAGCTGGGAAGCGAAGTAAACAAGAGAGGCTAGTGGAAGACAAAACAGGGAAACAACTAGAAGGGGAAGAAGAACAAAGAAGGAGATGGAAAGATGAAACATATGGAGATAACAAACAGCATATAAGATCAAAAGTCCATAGAACAATACAAAATAGGAGCGGAGCAATCACGGACCTCCAAAACATCAGAGTGGGATCAGGTGCCATGGAGTAGTGAGCATCCCCTGCTTACCGTTCACACCCGCCGTGTGCTCCTTGTCATGATCGTGAAATAACGGAAAAAATCCGTCGTCAACTCAGTGTATAAATAATGAACTAACAATTAATATGAAAAACGTCAGTCAACATTTGACTCAATGATAAATTGTATTTGCTGACATGGTCATTGTATCGACAATAGAACTTACGAAATGATCATTTTAAACGAGACTGCTGTTATTCTTGTTTCATCAACTTGTTTGTCAATAATTTACCTCGTTTTAGAAATTGTTCATATGTACGTAGAGCATGCTCTTGGTATCGAATCAACTGAGATATAAACTCTGTATGTAGGTGATGAAGGTATATTGCTGCATAATTAAGGGAAGTTGACGATAGAAAAGTTAAAGCCATCGCATTTATCATGGATCTTGGTTGTTAGATTACCATTAATGTCTTTTTCAAGTAAAATATCCAAATACGAAACAGATGTGTCAGATTCTGTGTCTTTTATCTCATGCTCACCAGGATATATCCTATCGACTTAGGAATGGAAATTATCATTGTTAATTGACAATACGTCGTTGATAAATCTAAATGTTTTCTTCTTTTTAAAAATTGTTGAATAGGCCAGTTTCATCTAACCCTCCAAGAATTACACCAGCAGACGAAACCTAGACATAGACTGGGGTTCACCACAACTAAGGAGGAAATAAAAGTAGCATTAAATGAGGAGATGAAACAGCCGAGGCACTTAAAGCTGATTTTGACAACCCAGCGGACATTCATGTACTCATACTCATACCCTAACCCTACTCATACACATACTCATCCCGCTTTTTTTTTTAATATGAGAGGTGGAAAGAAGGATATTTCATTAAACGTCCAAAAAATAGGAGACCCCAACGATTGTTCCAACTATAGGGGAATAACACTGTTGGATGTTTCAGGGAAGGTATTTAATTGGATCATACTGAACAGAATGAAAGAAGTGGATGATAAGCTACGTGACCAACAAGCTGGTTTTCGTAAAATTAGTTCTTGTACGGCCCAGATAGCAACGTTACGCATTATCATCGAACAATGTGCTGAATGGAATTCTTCCCTTTATGTAGGCTTCATAGATTATGAGAAAGCCTTTGACAGCATTGACAGGAAGATAATATGGAAGCTTCTGCGACATAATGGCAAATTGGTAAATACCGGTATCATCCGCAACTCTTATGAACATCATGCCGCAGAAGATTCCATTGTTAACTGATATAAATTTCATCTGCAACTCTTATGAACACCTGACATACAGGGTCATACATGGAGGATCGACGAGTGACACAGCCATTCGAGGCAAAAACAGGATTTTGTCAGGGATGTCTACTGTCACCATTTCTGTTTTTTCTTGCAATAGACTGGATAATGAAATCCTCCACAGACAATAGGAGAAATGGATAACAGTGGACACTATGGTCACAGTTACTCATAGTTCCCTTTCTAAAGAAGAAATTCTTCAAAATCATATGTCAGTTTTGAATATTTTTAAAATCCCGAAGAATCAAAATGAATTTGAACTACCAAATATATATATTGGATCCCAAAACTTCATAAGAATCCTAACAAACAAAGATACATTGCGGGTTCCAGTAAATGTTCAACCAAGCCTTTTTCTTTACTCCTCATTCAGACATTGAGAGTGGTGAAGGAAAAACTTCAAATGTACTGTGCAACAATATATTCAAGAAGTGGTGTGAATCAGATGTGGATACTAAAAAATTCCAAAGAACTTTTGGACAATTTAAAATCACAAGAGTTTACCAAAATCAACAGCTAGGAGTGTAAAAACGTACGACTTTTCAACTTTATACACAACCATTCCCCACGATAAATTAAAATCCAGACTTTTTGATATCATTAACAGCTGCTTTTTCAATAAAAATGGAACTCGTAAATTTACTTACCTGGTCATTGGTCATTTGAAAATTATTTTGGTAAAACACATTCTGATTGCACACACAAGTACTCTGAAGTTGACATCAAAAGATGCTCGAGTTTCTGTTTGACAATATCTATGTGGTTTTTGGAGACCAGGTCTTCCAACAATCTATTGGGATTCCCATGGGTACCAATTGCGCTCCGTTATTAGCAGATCTATTTTTGTATTTAGATGAAGCAAACTTTGTGAAAAATCTTATGCGTGAAAAGTAGAAAACATTTGCTGTGGCCTTAAACTCGATGTTTAGATATATAGACGATGTATTGTCAATTAACAAGGGTAATTTCTATTCCTATGTCGGTACGATATACTAGTATCCTGGTGAGCTTGAGATAAAAGATACCACAGAGTCTGACACATCTGTTTCATACTTGGATATTTTACTTGAGAAAGATATCAATGGTAATTTTACAACCAACCTCTATGATAAACGTGATGACTTTAACTTTTCTATCGTCAACTTCCCTTACTTATGCAGCAATATACCTTCATCACCTGCATACGGAATTTATATATCTCAGTTGATTCGATACGCAAGAGTATGCTCTACGTACGTATGAACAATTTCTAAAACGAGGTAAATTATTGACAAACAAATATTGATGAAACAAGAATAACAGCAGTCTCGTTTAAAGTCATCATTTAATTCGTAAGTTTCATGGTCGATACAATGACCATGTCAGCAAATACAATTTATCATTGAGTCGAATGCTGACTGACGTTTTTCATACTAATTGTTAATCCATTATTTATACACTGAATTGACGACGGATGTTCCGTTATTTTCCGATCATGACAAAGAGCACACGGCGGGTGTGACCGGTCGGCAGGGGATGCGCACTCCTCCATGGTACCTGATCCCACCTCTGATGTTTTGGAGGTCCGTGTTTGCTCTCTACTATTTTCTATTGTTTTATGGACTTTGATATTGTAACTGATCGTTATCTCTTTATCCATCATGAGCTAGACTTCGCGAATGACCTAACTCGTACTCCTATCATATACTCAGGCACAAATGCAGGAGAAAATAATACCGGTGAGAGAAACATCAGCACAGATAAGACTACAATAGAAAACAATAAGAATACATTAGAATCATTAAGTCAAGTCCTTCCTGGCTGAGGAGGGGATATCTTTAAACATACGAAGACAGCTCACTTTTTGTGCCCAATGAATATATACTTTTTTAAATGGATTGCTCTCTGGTCGTCAATCTAGCCAAAATTCTCTCAGAAAAGCGAGCCAGTCTGTAAGTCTGGTTAAATCATACTCACACTTTGGTCTCAAGTGATTGGACCAACAAGAAGTTTTGAATTTTGATAACGTTAAAAAACGTTTCTATTTGAAACCACCTGGGGTTCTATTCGTCTTTTTTTCACACAAAGGGCCACCAAGATTGCAAACCTATTACATAAGCTTATATCATGGAAGAATTGCCACGCCACCGAAGACATATAAGATAAACAGTAGCCCTGGCTGAGGCCAAGCTAGGTCACAAATATTTAATGTGATATTCTAATTGTACCAACTCCGCCATTATCGCGTCACTTCCTGCCAGAGTTACGTAAACATTCAGCGTCTAATTCAGGCTACTTTTACTTCAAGATAGATTGTATTTATGAAAATCGCCCATCTCCAATTAGTGGAAACACATGTTGCCAAAAAAAAGCTGCAACATAACAAGAACACGTTTTGAAACCTTGCAAACAAGAGATTTTTTGTATTCAGTAAATGTGTTAATAGATATTCCCCATTTAAGGAATTGGGAATTTCAGGCTTTAAAGGCTCCCTCATTTAACGTGCTTAAAGTTAAACTTGATAATTTAACCATGGCTATCACTTTTAGGATAAGTTTAGTAACATAACCAATATCATTTTTTCTCAAAAAACGCCGGCTCAAGGTTGTGATCATTTTAATTTACAAAATTATAAGTGTTGTGTTAAGGGATTTAGATTTCTTCTTTGTGGCAAAGATCACTAAAACGTTTGTTGAATTCAATCTGAAAGAAGCGACACGTACCTACTCATGTTGGGCGACAACGGAAAAATGATGAAAACGAGGCAGTTCGGAAACTCCTCATCGCGAATGAATAGGATTAAACACCTGGAACAGAGAGCCGACCGGATGGACCAGAGTTATACTTCCCCGGAAGTCATAGGTACCATTCTGTATCGAGACTTCAAAAAACAAAACTCTGACATGACCGACAAACATCTACCACTATGCACTATAGTAGTATTACTAAGTATATCTATGTCTATGTATGAAGACTGAGATAATACACACAGAGGAGATGATTTTAATCAAACAATCTCTGTCATTTGAATGTTTATATTGGACGATAATCCCCCTGTATGGAATGCAAATCCTATACACGAACACGCCACTTTGTTTCCATTGCAGGGCGTGCTTCTTGTTTCCATGCCAGAACGTGCGGATGTGCTTGATGATTACTTGCCGCTTTTGTTTGGCCTCCAATCAAATCTGTCATATTTATTGATAACCGCTTAGATTAGGGTCTGTCTACTGACCACTTATAGCTACACTAGAACAAACGTTCGTGGGACTTAGGTTCTCCTATGGATTACGTACCATGCACCCTGGAGTCTAATCTCGTGTTGTCTCGCGTTATCTCATTTCAGTTTTGTTATCACCAAATTTTGACGCGCAATACAGAAGTGTCAACCAATTTTCACTTAGATTTATTTATTTTTTTATTTGCTGATTAAACATGTCAAAGTTGTGTATACTTGTCACTCATATGACGTCACATCAGACAATTTGTCGTCTGCTCACCTGCGCCAAATTCATCAAGGTCACCAGTATCAACAATAAGAAACGTACACGGCGGCCATTTTTAAAACTTTACTTCAAATAATAATTTACAATAAAATTCACTGCCTTGCATTATTTTTCCTATCAACTTTGACACATAATTAATTGTCTGGGATGTCGTGCATTTCAAGCATGTCACAATTTGTGACTTCAAAGCAAAAACTGACATATGAAATACCAATCTCAACAAAGCGATGTTGTGCGACTAGCATTTAAACGTTCTCCCTATCTGTTTATAATGATTCTCTGCGTCCGTAGCCAAAAATTAATCAACTAAAAGGGAAACTTGTAGTGTTTACCTGGCTGACGCTGGTCCCTCTAAATCAGATTAATAAGGGTGTAGCAGGTTATGGGGACGTGATGAATTTATTTTACATAGCATACAGGTAACACCGCGGGCACCTGTTGCCAGGACGGCGGACTTTTTAATATTTACTAACATTGTACATAAGAATTTACTGAGAAGCATAATGTAAGACAAACGTTATTTTGGCTAATGCCTAAATACTGAAGCTAGACATACTTCGATATTTTCTTTTTTCTGGTCTATTTAATAAAACAAATTGATTCTAAAACATTGTATCATTTATTCAAAGGAATATGATGGAATGTAAAAATTACACTACTCAATATTTTCCATTTGTATTGCATGTTTTTTTTACCCATTTTTATCGTATTTTTTTTCCTTGCTGTATTCAGTATTAACATGTATATACTTTGAATTTTTAATATTCCATTTGCATTGTATCATTTTCAGATTTGTATTAAAATAAATAAAAATAATTAAAAAATTAAATAATAAACAATTTAAACTCTAATTCTGTTATTTCTATTTGTTTACATAATTTCCTTTTATTATTTCCATTTCTGTAGTTTAATCTTCATTTTCCCTTTTGAATTCTATAATTTTCTAGATGGAAAAGATGCAATAAATACATGAAAAGTAAAACCATACAAGTAGGAAAATTATATATAAAAAAAGTATACCATTCGAATGAAAAATTATTCAAAACAAATTGAAAATTATAATATACAAATGGAACATTGTAATACAAATGGTAAAAAAGAGCCATAAACTTTCATATAAAATAGTAAAGAAAGCAAAACGTATGCGAACATAATGCAACTAAAATATACTTTTATAGAGATTTTTACCTCAGGAGGTTAAAAAATTCAATTTCTCATTTTCTTTTTTATTTTATAAATTGGACTATTAGACTAAATCAGAACAACAACTACGCCACTTTATGATCAAGGATGTTACCTGCAAAAAGAATGATTGATTGATTGATCGATTGATTGATTGATTGATTGATTGATTGATTGATTGATTGATTGATTGATTGGAAATAAAGAAATTGAGGCTTAAAAACAAAGAGAAAAGAAATAACGAACAGTAGAAGTCTAATTAAACAATTCAAATCAGGAGCAGACCACC